CATTGTGCTGCCGATAAAATTCAGTGAAATTTTGAAACAAACTCAACCAACAATTTCACTACAAAAAATTAAAATGACGGCGGAAATTTTGAGACCTCGCATTGCGCTTGTGATAATTTGGCCGGAAGGTGGCGGAATATGTATTTTATCCAACAAAATTTCGCAACATCGCAACATTATCAGGCTGATTCGACGTTCTTACTTAGGATTGCAGAGAGGAAGGAAGAACTGCCGTGCTAAGGAAGAACGCCGTATGAACCTTCAGGCGTTATCATTTTTCCTTCAATATAAAACGAATTTACTGAAAAAATTGTGATTATTTTTCTTCGAATTTTTTAGACAATTTTGTTCACGATTTGATCTAGGACATCTAAATTCCGGACCTTCTTGCGGAATTTCCACACTTTTCCAGTGCTTCCGGACAGCCCTTAAAAAAGCAGTACTATTTCCGGACATTCCGAAAGCCTGGACTTGTAGACACCCTGTCAGGGGAAATTTGGCAACTTTCAAAGGCTAATACGGCGTTCTTACATAGGATTGCAGAGAGGAGGAAAGGAGGAGGGTGGTTAGGGCGGGCGGGATCGGCGACGTTTACTTTGTTCGTTTAACAGGTGGACGCCCCGGACACCCCGGTCCCGGGTGCGGGTGTGGCTGCCGCGGGCACCATGCGATCGCTGCTCCCTCCCCGCCCCTCCGCCGTCGAGAATTGGGATTCCGGATTCCGAGCACGAGTCCGGATCCCGCCCAGGTTTTGTGTGTTCCCTTTTTATTTCCTCGTTAGCGGTAATTCCGACCGAATCAACAAAGTCCTGCTTCATCGGATCCCTCCATCCCCTAGGATTGCCCCTCTACGCACACCCTCCTCCAACGCGCCCGAATTCGCCCAGAATCCAAATCTCTGACACTGAAAAAAAACTCCGGCCGTGGAAGCCGTGCTTACGGGCTACATAGACCAGTAATCTCATTTCCCGGAACAAGTGTCAAATTTCGGAACTTCTGAGAATTTCCCGGAACTTTTGAGATTCCCGAAATATTCCGGATCTTTTGAGTTTTTCGGAACTTTCGAATAAATCTAAAATCATCCCGGAACTTTTGAAGATTATTAGGACGGAGAAATTGGAACAACAAAGTTCCGAATTCCGGAACTTTTGACGGACATGGAATGGGAAAACTGATATAGACAAGACATACCGCCCGCGTTCCGGGCTCAAAGGCCGAAAGTTCCGAGCGTTAGAGATGGAGCAATCGAAGCTACGGTTCCAGCACCCGGAACTTTCGGCCTCTGAGCCCGGAGCAGGTGGTATGTCTATAAAGCCCGTAATTTTTTTTTCAGTGGACGCAACCAAGGGAGGGTGTCTCAACAGGTTGGCCAAAAATCAGTACTTTTACTGTACTTTTTCAGTACATTCTTCAGAAATGTAATACCTCCTTAACAGAAAAATTAAGTACGTTTCCAGTGCCTCCATTTGACGAAATTCGAACAATTTGGAGAGTTTGAAATCCTCGCTTAAATTGCGACAATAATGACAGAGGCACAAAATGTCATTCGTGGCTTCAATATTGACTGACTGCACAATCGCGATCTAGGTAGATTAGTTAAATTACTTAAACTTGAAGCAATTTTAGGGTGTCTACAAAACAGGCTGGTCAAGAATCAGTACTTTTTCAGTGCTTTTCCGGTGCATTCCAAAAATTTTAGTACCTCCTCAACAGAAAAATTCAGAACTTTTCCAGTGCCTCCATCCATTGGACAAGATTCGAAAGAAGTCGAGAATTTGGAATCTTTGCTCGAATTGCGACAAAAATGACGTAGACACAAAAATTCACTCGTGGCTTGAAGATTGACTGACTATGGACTACCGCAATCTTGCAGGCGAATACTACTCTGAGAATATAAGCGTAGGAGATTGCATACTTTCCAGGCTTTATCTGAAAACACGCGTGGTATGAAGGAAAAACTCGTAGGAAACTCGGAGAAGTCTCATCTTTCCCTGGGCGATCACAAATTGTCGGTTTTGATCGCGATGTTCCAGCGTTACCGTCCTTGCTTTGTTTTTTGGAGAGAGCCCTACTAATAATTTTTGTACGAAAATGAGGAATTTTCCCCGAGAGGGCACGGATCAATGACGCAAGATCTTGTGCACTAATGACCGCCACCCACCGCAAAAGTGGATTGTGACGAGAAATCAGCGGGGTCGCAAACTAAGATAAGCGATTTCGTAGTTTCACCATCGACGACATTTTGGTCAGCTTTGGGGGTGGGAAGGGCCCTGTGCGACGCGGCGGGCACGGCGGCCGATTAGATGTCTTCATGACGATTAGAGGTTAATCGCCCCTCTCCAAGACGGGAGTTCTCTAACTCAAGGGTGGAACCAGGGGTTGATGCGAGCCATGGATTCCCTACTGGCTTAGGGACTCCGCTTTTTGGCGCTGCTTTCGATATTGACTTCCTACTCACAATCCCAGATTAGAACTTGAAACATTGCCACCGTCTATGTCGTTCGGTTGTTATTCTACCACGTGCTGACGCAAAACGGCGTAAGAGCATCCAGACGTTGCCGAAATTTCGGATTTTTCTGAGAAATTAGGAATTTCTGCAGAAGAATTGTTCCGAAAATCTTACTAGCAGTATAATCCAGTAGATCTGAAAGTATCAAGAAAAGCACGTAAAATACGTAAGCAGGGTGTCTACCAAAACAGGCTGGCCCAAAAATCAGTACTTTTACGGTACTTTTTCAGTACACTTCCGAGAAATTCGGTATACCTTCTCGACGAAAAAATTCAGTACATTTTCAGTACCCTCATTTGACGAAATTTGAAAAATTTCAAAAATTTGAATTTCTCGCTCGAATTGTGACAAAAATGATAAAAAATTCCAGACCTTCTTGCGGAATTTCCGCACTTTTTCAGTACTTCCGAACCGCCCTTAAAAAATCAGTACTATTTCCGGACTTTCCGGAAATCCCGGACTTGTAGACACCCTGGTAAGGCAACCAGAGGAGGGGGATAGAAGATTTTTAGCTGCATTATGGGTGCCTCCTGAAGAGGGGTTAGAGCCAATCTTTATATCAGACTTCTATTAATTACCGTATTCAATAATGGTCCATTTTGTAAAAGTTTCGACGTTCTATAAAGTCATGTATTTATTTCTTTTCAAAGCGGTATATGCTGTAAAACGCCTTACGTAAAGTCATAAGAGGATTTATGGTTGCTTTCCAAGTGCCTCATAGAAAATGGGGGAAGAGGGCATCTACAAATCGGAAACAGTGCCTTAAATCATTTATTGAAAATCCCCGAAACGTTACTTTCCTCAAAGCTAAATATTTTCTGAGAGACATTTGGCAACATTCGAATGATAATAGAACGTTCTTTGCGGCATTATTGTCGCTCGCCCTCTTTTGGAGAGAACTATTTTATGGAGAGCTGTAACACGCAATTCCGTAGATTAGGATGTTTTCCCACTTTTGTGAGGATGCGTTTGTATGAGGAGGGATTTTGCTGTCCACAGGTGCAAGTCAATTTGAATGGATTGATTGGACTAGAACTTAATTTCCAAAAAAAAAAAACTATGAAATATCGAGTAAATACAAAACAATTTTACCAGCAATTTTTTTTTTTTAAATGCACTCGCCATAACCTCGAAAATAGACTTGTCATTTTTTCACACCCTTAATTTCTGCTACCTGAGGTAAATTAGCAAATGTTTAGAGTAAATCAAACACTCTTAATGGCAAAAGCAGAGAAAAAACACCAGTCTCCAAAAAAATCGTGTACAAATTAGCCAAATAATATAAAATTCGAGGGTTTACGAGCATTTTGGGGCTGCTTATCAAAACCAAATGATATTTAAGGACTTCTCAAAGCGTCACAAATATAATTCAGCCACAAATCGTTGACGAGAATACCGCCCCAGGTTGATACAATTCGAATGATGCAACTATTTAAACTCAAAGGCAATGCGGTATTGCCTATATAAAAGTTTGAAGGCATTTCGATGCCGAGCAGTTATGATTTACGACTATTCACGATGGCGTAGCGTAGCGTAGGCCCTAATCATAAATTAGGTTACACCCTGACGAAGGTGGAACTTGCATGACAAGAGCACGACGACAAAGGAAGGGGCACAAGCGTTATATGACGTCACGTGAATCTTTCAATCTTTTGAATTTTGGCAATTGTTAAAAAACCAGGGACATTCAAGGACTTGAAAATTTGACAAATTGGTCAAAAGCAATTTTAAAAGTACCAATTCAGTGCGCATTATTTAAAAAGTTTCAAGAGGTGCTTACAGATACTCGGAGTAGAAAATGTTCTACATGGGTAAATTTTACGTGCAAAATAAAAAATTCAATAAAAAACTATTGCAAGGGGAAAAATTCATATTAAAAAAAAAAAAAAAAAAAAAAAAAAAAAAAAAAACTCCGGCTGTTAAAGCCGTTTTCATGGGCTGTATAGACATACCGTCCGCGTTTAGGGCTCAGAGACCGAAAGTTCCGGGCGAAGCACCCGGAGCAATCGAAGCTACGGCTCCAGCACCCGGAACGGACGGTATGTCTGTACAGGGTGATCCTGGTTTAAACGGCCAAATTGCAGGAGTCGAAACACCCCCAAATCCCCTCTTTACATTGAGATTTTAATGTTTTTTAGATCATTAATGAATGCAGGACATGAAATTACGGGAAAGTACAAATTTTCATGAGATTTGGTTCACAACCGTTGCCAAAATTCAGAAAAAATTATTTACTTTCCGAAAATTTGGGGGCTGTAGCTCCAACTGGGGGCACTTTTGGAAAGAAAAACTTTATAAAACATAAAAGTCCTATTTTGACCCATAGAACACTCTCCTGCAGTGTGGTCGTTTAACCCTGGATCATCCTGTATAGTCCGTAACTTTTTTTTTTTTTCACTGCAAGGTATTTTTAAGGTATTGCATACGATGAATGAAGTAAGACGCACAAGGGCACATTTTAAGTTGAAGTGAGGATGGATGAGATACGAACCGTTTCTTTGGTGGTGGGCAGTCGTTCTTGATCCAGCCACCACGTGACCTTGGCGGGGGGTCGCGAGCCGGAAGATTGGCACTGAAACTCGGCCCTCCGACCAGCCGACAGCGGCTGCGTTGTTTCAGTAATCCTCACGTCTAAAGGTGGAACTGTAACAAACAGAGGAATACAATATTAGAAAGGGCTTCTGAGAGTTTCCAAAGGTGAACTCATCACTTAAAAAAAAAAAAAAAAAAAAAAAAAAAAAAAAAAAAAAAAAATCCGGCCGTAGACGCCGTAATTACGGGTTATAAAGACATATACCATCTGCGTCCTGTGGTAACCTCGCCTTGAAGCCTAGAAAGAGCAGTACCTTAAATTTGTAAACTTTATGTTTTTTTGCCGTGTGTCGTCATGATCGTCACCCTGAGATAGCTAGAGTAGTTATGTCATGGGTGGCGGTAGCCACCTCCGGACTAAGTCTAAACTCGACAACACTAGAAAGCGTCCAAACGAAAAAGGTGGCAGCCAACCATAGACACACGTAACTCCCTTATTCTGAAAATTGATTCCGTTTTACTTAAACTTGAAGCAATTACAGGGTGTTTACTAAGACAGGTTGACCAAAATTAGAACTTTTACAGTATACCTTTTCTGTACATCCCCAAGAAATCCAATACCTATACTCAACAGAAAAATTCAATACTTCTTCGGTACCTCCATTTTACGAAATAAAAAAAATTCCGAAAATTTAAGATCCTTGCTCGAATTGCGACAGAAATGACGCACACACAATATTTCACTGGTTGCTTGAAGAATAATTGACTGTACGATCGCGATCTTATGCAGGTAAATATCACTCTTGGCGTCAGCGCGCGGCGCGGGGAATCGCATACTTTCCAGGCTTCGTTAAAAAACATGCGTGATAAGAAGGAAAAATTCCGGACCTTCTTGCGGAATTTCCGTTCTTTATCATGCAGGACTTTTGGATCGCTCTTACAAAATCAGTACTATTTCCGGACTTTCCGGAAATTCCAGACCAGTAAACACCCCGAATTAAGAAATAAAGGATACAAGCATCGTTGTTTTTTCCATAATTCTCGCCGCTTATAATCAAGGCTCCTCTGTGAATTCAGAACCAAAAACTGAATCTAACTCTTCCTCTGTTGCGAGGACCTCATGAATAGAAGAAGCGGAAGCACGGATAACTCAGATTTTAAGTGAGAGCTATCGGGTGGAAGCGGCGAAACGTGCGAGGAGAGACACGACTCCATATTTTATTCACGGCGAGTCAAAGTCTCCTCAAAAAATTCGCCCTAAACTGCCGCACATTTGAACGGGGAGTATGAATAAGTAAACGATTTATGATCTAACAGTGCGAAACGCTCTCGTTCCGTTCCCGGCTGCCTCGAGTCCCGGCGTCTCGGCGAAGGGCGGAGTGTAGCGGGGCCCGTAACTGATTTTATTGCTCTCGTCCAGTGCTCCAGCATCATATGTAACTCATGAAATTGCATTTTCTCACCCGGAAAAAGAGGAAGGAGAGGAGAGGGAAGATTAAGAAAAAAAAGGGGAGTGAAGAAGGAGAAGCAGAGGCATGAGTTGTTGGAAATTTTGAAGGGGAGGAATAAGAAGGAGAGGAGGGTGGAGAAAGGAAGAGGAGGAGGAAAGGGATGGAAGAAACGGAAGGAACAGCGGAGGAAAATGAATGGAAGCAGAGGATTTAGATGTAGATTTAAGCACTTTTATTTAGGCTGGCAACAATAGGACCAACTGGTCCCGTCTTCCTTGTTCCTGAGGGAAAAGGAATGAAAGCAGAGGAGGGAAAAAAGAGGAAGAAAAAGGAGGAAAGAACATAAGAAAAAAAGAAACGGAGAGGGATTAAAAGGAAGAGGAAGAAAAAAAGAGGAATGAAGAAGGTAAAGCAGAGGCATAAGGTGTTAAGAGATTTTGAAGGGGAGGAATAAGAAGGAGAAGCTGATGGAGAAAGGAATAGGAGGTGAGGAAGTAGAAGAGGATGAAACAGCGGAGGAAAAGAAATTAAAGCAGAGGAGAGAAAAAGAGGAAGAAAAGGGGAAGAAAGAAAATAAGAAAAAAAGAAAAGGGGGAAAAAGAGGAAGAAGAAAAAGGAGGAAAAAGAGGAAGAAGAAAAACGAGGGAAACGAGGAAGGAGAAAAAGGAGGAAAAAGAGGAAGAAGAAAAAGGAAAGAGATAGCGGAAGAAGAATCCTGCATCCTCCTGCATTTTAATGCAAGTAGTGGCGCAATGCATTGATCATGCTTTTTCATTAATTCAATTGGATAGGCAAATTCCCTCCGAGGAGCCCGACAAGTGGTATCGTTCTTACCGTTATAAAATTGGAGGCCGAGGCTCAGACCTGAACCACTTTACCCTTAGTTTCCTTTGTCTAACTCTTTGTCTATCAATGTTAACAATCAGCCCGCAGACCCATTCCGAGCCTCTCCAGAATGAGCTACCTTTACCCTTGGCCGGTAACATTCATTTATTCAGGACTGGGTGCGTGGTCGTTGGCGAGAGGAGTCGCCGAGGGGACGCTTCGAGACGGGGCCGGCTCGTCCCCGCTCGCGTCTCGCGCTCGGCTCGCGGCGCGCGCGTCCTCGAAGAAAGGTCCATTTCGTTGTATCAAGAGCTTTGCGACGGGTGTCAAGACCGGTGAAACAAACGATACTCCGCCGAGGAGTTGTTCTCCCTTTTTTTCCCCCGGTTCTTTTACCCGGCTCCAGTCGCAGCTTCCAATTTGTTTGAGTGTCATCGGCTCCGCAGTCGCCACCCCGCCCTCGAAACCCACTTCTCGCTCGGTATAAAATGTGCAACTTCGCGAACGAAACGGCAACCGAGCTTCGGCTCCATCCTTTGAGTGCTTCCCCGCCACCCCCGCCCCCGCGCCCGTTGTGCGACGGACGCGTTGCAGGAGCACGCGTCCTGTGAAGTGCATTACTGTCGGGGTCACGGTGGAGGGGGAGGGGGAGGGGGGAGGGGTGCTCCGGAATTATTTTTGCTAAACAGCAGGAGGACAGGGCTGCCGAGTCTGAACTATAGGTGCGAGAGGAGGAATCGAATCCTGCAGCTCAGTCAGAAAGAGGTCAAACTCAGCTCTGAGAGGGCAGGGTGGCATGAAACGTACGAAGGAAATGAAAGATTGGAAATTTCAGTGAAATATTTCATGAAATTTCACGAGGCTGTGAAATATCTCATATTTTTTAGGGGCTAGAGTATGCAACCCGCACTCAAACACATACGCAAATTGAAGAAAGTTTCAATTTTTACATTTTGCAAAATATGGAAAGGAACCGGTATTTTTCAATATTTTTCATAAATTTCTGATATTTCATGAAATATTTCAGTGAAATTTCAAGATTTTATTTTTCATGAAATTTTGCCACCCTGTGAGAGGGAGAGAGCAACGTTGAAAAAAAAACTGATTTGAGCTGATGCTTTTCAAAGATTCAAAAATGTTTTTGGTGCATGTGCAGCGAAAAAACTCGAGTCGGCTGGTTCGACCTCGATTCAACTCTGAAGAAACATAAAGGGGTAAACGAGAACAACCGACTGGAACCGACTTGTTATACTTTCTATAGGGACCTTCACTAAGTCCAGGAACTATTGTTTAAACATCTGGAATTATTTCATTAGTGCAAGGGACAGAATGGTGAATTGGCAGGAGTCTAAAATTTGATGAATTACGTATTTAAGTAGTAACGACCGAGTGGACTGACCACAAGGATACCCTTTTACAGAAAGAGCAATTATTGGAGGAGATATGATAAGAAAAAACCGAATCTGCTAAATTACATGTCTTTAAATGGAAAATGCCGTCAGATGACGTCACTAGGCGGTGCATTTTCTCACTTTTAAATCTATTTTTATACTATTTCCCATATCAGAAAAAAGTATGCTATTTAAGCAGTCTCAGATGAAGCAATAAAGAATGTGGTTGCAAATTCTTCATTAAGAGGAAAAGTGGTAAAAGTTCATTTACGGGATGAACATGGAATACTTCAGAGGTGTGATCTATACTCAAAAACCGCCTACTCTCGAAACGATAGGCTCCCGAAGTTTAAGAAAGTACTGGAAAAAATATACAGATTTCGTATTAATCTGGCAACGCTCGATCAAACCACATGCAAATGGGGGGCAATTTTAAGCGCTCCACTTGTTTTTGATCTGAAAAATGGGACAACTCATTTTGTGGGTGTTTTGAGGGTCATCGTTTTAACAAGAAGAAGAAGGAGAAAATAAATGCCATGTGCTACATACTATAATCCTCTTCCTATACTGCCGTACTGAGGAACATTCGAGAAATGCCAATGGATAAAACATGCATTTTTGAGGTTTATGCAATATTTTCCCTTTGATTTTTGGATGATGAAGATTAAAATACAAAGAAAATTGTCTGGAAATTTTGGAGAAAAATATTCCAAATTTTCCCAGGAAATTCGTTTTTTTATTGAAGGAAAGATGGCAACGTCTGAAGGCTCATACGGCGTTCTTCCTTAGCACGGCAGTAAAAATTCTGTAAATCTTTCCGTACTTCTAACGGAGAAAAGGGGGTCAAAAGTCGGGCAAAGTGGTAGACTAGTGAATATCTGTAGAGAGCCGAAATTTCAAAAAGTAAACATGTTCTAACGATTCAAAACACCAGTTAGCATTGGCTGAAACTAAAGAACACATATTTACCATTTGAGAAACCTTCCCTGGTAAAAATTGGCAGTAGAATCTGTGTTCCAAAATACCATAGACCTACAGCCGGCTGTAAGATTTCCAATAGCTTCTATATCCGGCTACACAATTTCTTATAGCCTTTTATAGCCGATGGCGACTAAGCAACAGCCAGGCGATAAAGTGTATGCTAAACGTTACTAATTACGGATGCTAGGACTTAGTGAGTTTTTGGAATACTGCTCTCTTTTTGGGCCGCAATATCATGATTTATTTTGCGAGGAAAGCTCCGTACTTTTGATGGATGCCTGCCATTACTAGTATATTAGACCGCCTTCAGTTTCCTATGATGCTGTGCAATACCTCTGGTGTGAAATAGTTGCTTCAAGCGCCGTGGCACGCCGCGGCGCGGCAGGCGGGCAGCCAGCGCAAAACGCGCATTGGCGCCTACAAACCTAACAGGGATACTTCACGCGTTGCGCAATGCGTGAAG